AATTTTTAATTTAATTAATATTTTAGTATTTAAAAATACTGATGTTGGATGGATTATATTAGTTAGGTAAATTTTAATTAGAAATCTTTTTAACTATTTGCCATGCTTTTATTGGCATATAAATATTTCCAGCCGATGACTGTGATCGTTTGTTTGTTATAATATCATAAATGTATAAAACATGTTGGTCAAAAACCTATTTGCTTGTCACCAGAGGCTTCCAGTGAAACAAGGTCACCTTACAATTTGCACTTTGCAGGCTTATCTGCATTGTCTCTGTAAGGATGGAGAAGGCCATATCAGGACATTTGAGCTTGCAATTACTAGGTTATGTGGAATGTTATTCTCTGGATTGCATTGAAGACAGAAGATATCAGCTAGATTAACATTGAAGACAAAAGATATCAGCTGGACTATCGAACATTTATTCTTTCCTATAGTATCAGCTAGTCAGTTGACCTGCAATCCGTCATGGGTCACGGGGTGGAATGACACAGAGAATAACATGGATAGAACTAGGGTTTTCATGCTTTAAGGTTACAATCTTGACAATGGAAAGGAATTAAAGATAATCTCTAAATATTTAAATCTTTATAAAATAAACTAGTGCTACTGTTAAAGAGAGAGTTGCAAAAAATTAAAACAGGTTGATGTCCGTTTCCGAAACTATCAAACATACAAGCTTGAGAATCTCATAGAAAGGGGAGACAAAGGCAATGTCCATTAGCAGCAAGTCAAAAACTACAGTTCACAGAAACCAGCAACTGTTAGTTAACAGAAGCCAACCCGCAAGGTCAGAAACACAACCGTAAAAACTGCTACGGAGGCAGCCACATGACTGGCTTAGTAATTTCTCAAATAATCTAAACATTAAACAGAGAATTATTGTGCCAAGGTCTAGGACTCTAGGACATTTAGTAGTCTCAAGCATGAACATGGTGCTCTCAGTTTATAATTCAAGTCAATTCCTGAAACGGGTTTCCCAAGTAAAACAGCATGCATTTCACAAGTCTTGCAACCAATGTCGATAAGCTACTAGAAATTCCATATCGAGATACGTGCAAAATCAATATCATTATTTCAACCCTCCTTTCCACCTTGATTCCATTTGTTTGATTGACATTTGCAATTGAAAGAAAATAGAACATCACAAAGAGACCAAAGTAGCTATCTTCTACGACTATCATTGCCAATCAAGTTGAATTTGGAAAGAGAAATACAACAAAGTATCCTACTTGATGGTCCTGCTTCTGACTACTCTTGATAGCTCAACTTGGAATTACATTGCTCTAGTTCAGCTCCACAAAAAGGCTGGCTTGAGGGTGCAAACCTGCTTCTTTTAAAGATAGAGAGAGTTTATCTGTACCATAGACAACTCGGGGGAAGTTCGAGACAAGACTGTAATTCTCGACATCTAAGCAACCCAAAGAATCAACATAATCGTACAGGGACTGGATAGTGGCTGTACTGTGGAATCTCCTCTCTTTGCGTTCTCCAGTTGGAAATCGAACCAAAACCTGATTAACAAAGTTACATTTGTAGTAGATTAGTTCCAAAAGATTCACATGACAACTATTCATAAAGACACTATAAGGGCTAGGAAGTCCAATAGATCAAAAGCTAAACGACATACCAAAAAAAAAAACAAACAGAAGAAAAAAACACACTTATGAAACCAAGTCAAGGCTAGAATAAAGTACCAACGCTTGTAGTACAGAAAATTGAGTAATCATCCTGAATTCCTAAACAATAAAAGATTACAGATAACAGAATCATTAAAAGAGCAATAAATAAAATAAGACACGTTACTTGTGTAACATTAGGTCCCTTTTCGGGTTCAGCACCAAGCAACAAGGCTTTCTCCTGCCGCATTCTTGCCAGAGCCGCCTCTTTTTCTGCAGCCTCACGTGTTGCTCTCTCCTGAGCCTCTTCTTCCTCCTTGCGCTTTCTCTCTGCCTCAGCAGCCTCCCTTTCCAGACGTTCTTGTTCTTCTCTCAGTTGTCGTTCCCTAGCCTGAAAGCATAAAAGAAAAAAGAATACAAAGGCAAATAGAAAATCATCACCACCATGCAAAAAGAAAAGGACCATCACATCTGGCCAACAGTACCAACATGATATAAACTAAATGCTCCAGTAAAAAAAGAAAAAAAAAGAAGGAAGGCATACTTGATCGGCTTCAAGTGCTGCTCTGTATGCAGCATCTTGCTCCTCCCTCAAACGCATGTTTGTTGTTCTCTCCTCCGCTTCAAGTCTTGCTGCAACAAGAACAGGGGCACTTTCTTCAAGAACTCTCTGTAGTATCATGAGCATTTCTTCAGGAGATTTTGGACCCTCAACCTAGATCAAGAGAAAGATGCACATAATTGTAAGCAAAAAGCTACTAAGCAACAACGCAATTAAACAGGTTGGGTCTATTTAAGACCCAGAAACCTCCAAACTAAATTCCAGCCAACTCATGAATTGAGTAATACCTAAATATTCAATTAAATGCTTTAGCAGTTGACAAAGATGACAAACAAGTCATTAAAGGCTCATCACCCAGACCAGAGTGTTTTTGAAGGAAAATTGAGCTATATTTGAAAATGAAAAAGATATGGAAACTTTGGTGCATGTGTAAAAGGGTGGGATAAACCCATGCTATTGCAACAAATGTTGAAAAAGCTCGATATGGGAGGTGGAGAGTGCATTAATTGCATTCCATGGAAAAAAGAATTTTCATGAAAAGATGCACACAGACCTACCATCACAAGGAACATACAAAATGAAATCTACAAGTAGGATAGAAAACAAGAGAGTAAGACACCGTAAATCCGACAACATCAAGAACCCCAGAAACTATACAGAAAAAAATAAATCAACCCTATTGAATAATACCGAGGTTTCAATGAAGTAACTATATTTACCAAAGCTTCATATCTCTGATGGCCCAATGCCAAATTCAATAACCTTTTAACACTTTCCCGTGCAGAGTTGAAACAAGGTACTATCCCTTCCCCCAACAAACACAACCATCTACTTCATAATTTGCCTAGCCAAATCTATCCCTGCTAATCCTAATTTCCCTCTTTCAATAATCAATTCAACAACAACAACCATAATCAAAATAGGAGTGCATATAGCTCATCAAAATCATTCAACATCTCAAATTAAATCACCACACACCCAAAAGAATTACCTGTTGAAGCAACGCAATCCTCTGATTTGTAGCAGGCATAACAACAGCACAAAACGGAAACCTTGAAGCCTTCAGACTATTACTCATCTTAAATCCCTCACTCCCTCTAAGACTCCCACCCCACGCAACAAAATTCTCATTAACAAATGCGCTAAAAACCTCCGAACACAACGTCCCCTCACAAAACGCCGGCGTATCAGGATGATCCGGGGAATGCAAATACACAAACAACAACTTAAAACTATTCCTCGACCTCGTCAACGCATCCATAAATCCTTCACCAACAAAATTCGGCCTACTAGAAGAACCAGAACCACCATAATCCCTCTCAAATTGAGCAATAAACTCCAAGGCTTCTCTCGACGCGGCGGAAACAGTTACCAATTGGGCCGAAGAATCCCCACCCCGGCCCGAATTTGAGCCAAACCCAAAAAAACCTAATGAATAAGAGAAAACACTACCAGCAGCCCAAAATCCTAACCCAACAGCACCAGAAACTAACCGTAAACTACCGGAAATGATTGAGATTGGTAAAGTGATAATTTTCCAGCCCAAACCAGGAAGAGGAGCAGCCACGGGAGCGATGGCGGTGGAATCGGAACGATGAATGGATGAAATGGGTGGTTCGACGACGGTGGATGTGGTGGCGGTGGCGGTGGCGGTGGATGAGTAAGAAAGGGGGTCATTATTGTGATTAGAGGTGAAAGAGGAGATGGCGAGTTCGAGGTCCCAATTATGGGCTTGGAGGATCTGGGTGCATAAATCGGGATCTTCAAGGCCTGTAATTGCTTGAAAGTACGCTAATTTATCTGCTACATCAACCATTATTGAATTACTGTAGCTTTCTTTCACTCTGATTTTTTATTTCAGAGTTTTCTGGAGGAAGTTTTAATCTTTTTTGGGGAGAAATGGGAATGGAAGGAAAGAGGAACAGTTGTTTTTAACTCGGAGGTTTATGGCGATGACCGACAAGGAAGATTGGCGAGCGTGCGAGCGTTCGTTATGTATTCATGAAGTTTTCCGTATTATGAATTTGGAATAATTTTATAAAATTATAAAATTTAATATTGAAAATTAAAAATATAATTAATAAATAAATAAAATATATAAAACCACTATTCTAATAAATAATATCATAAAAAATATACATTAAGAAGCCCTTCTCTTTAATTTTCTTTTTAAGTTTTGTTTTTACGGTATATTATGGACATGGTTGCCTTTTGAATTACAATAAGCAAAAAATAGATCCACTTTTTCGGGCTGTTTTAAAATGTGATAATAATTACATTTTAAAATGTTTTTTAATTTAAAAATATATTAAAAAATATTTTTTTAATTTTAAAAAATTCATTTTTTATATACAATTTTTCAGAGAAATAATATTTTGAATGCCCCGAAAAACACGCCCTTATTTAGTGGATAATTAATGATTGTGCAAGCGCATTGAATTCTTTCTTGACCAGGCGACGAAAGGTGAGAGCTGAGAAAGCGATGACGTTTTATTCATGAGCCACCAGTTTGGGAAATCTGAAAGGAATTATGGATGGGACTTCTTGGTTTTCGGCCACCGTGTAACTCACATGTTTGTAGGTCCCACAGGGTGAACGATGTCCCAACTCACTCACAGGGATTCCTTGTGGCTGTAGACGGATATTGTCGCGAAATCCATAATGAAGAGAGAACATAAAGTAGCAGCGAAAATATGCCAATGAGCTCCGAAGCCCGAGCTGCAGCTGAGAGGTTGACAGCCAGCCAGAAAAGCAATTGATGTTTACTGCCAGGTCTGCTCGGAGATCAATTCCAGAAAAACAACTGCGTATCCAACTATCAGCGAAATCATTTCACTTCGTTCGTTCAAAAACCTCTTCCATAGTTTTAAATATACAAGGGTTTTTACATGTCCAGATCATACAATAATCACCAACTCGTTACAATTCCTCTACCAAAACCTTTCCCTTGGATTCAGTTTTAAGTTCTGCTATCTGGAGATTTTTACCTGCTCTACAATCCAAAGCTGAACTTTTTTCTGCCCTTACGATGGCAGCTAGCGAGGACCAGGCTTCCCCTGGCTGCTCATGCACCCAACACATTATGAAATAGACCTTCTTCTCCGCAAGCTTCAGCTTACTCTTGATTTCTGTCTTCGACTTTCTCTTTTTCTCAGCTTTCAGCTCCTCCTCTCCAGCCTGAACCATCCTATGTAGATCACAGAGCAAGCAGATTAAAGCAGGGCCACCAAGTGACAGAATGTGTAATACATCTTCAACAAGACCCAATCCAAATTGCAATCCACCCATGTTTCTATACTCTGGAGAGCAAGTTCTCTCCAAGCAATATGACAGAGCTTCCAGGACGGTTTCGGGCTGGCCGGCTTGACCTAAGACAGAGGAGACATTCAATACCACTGTTGCTGACCCAATGGCATCTGACTGCCAATCTCCATTGTAGAGGCGTAGTGTGAAGCAGTAGCTATATATAATGTCAACCAAGTGAACGGCTAAGAAGGGTGATGGCTCTCTAGAAATAAGCTTCCTTACAGGAGGTAATGGAGCATCAGGGCCAGGAGGAATCTCACTGGGTTGGTCACCTGCACCATCATCTTGACGCGATGACAACGCTTCCTCTTTGGCAAGTGGGTGGATAAGTCTGGTTCCTTCCTTGCTAAGAGAGATGGTTCTAGAAGAAGACTTCAACCACCATGGATCCCATGCTTCGATCAACTTGCTGAGTTCTCCAGATGCCACAGCTCTTTGGAAACGTTTCTTCTCTTCTGCTGATAAATCATCATAATTGATTGGACCACCTGCAATGAGAAACAATACATCACTTCCATTAGCTTCTAAAGTTAAAGCATCAGAACACACCATTAAATAACACTCTAATTACAACCTAATGAGAGAGAAAATTCAGTTTAAATGGAAATGAACATATCTGAAGTACTGAATGACAGGCAAAGAAGAACAAATGAGAAGACATAAAAAAATTTACAAGAAAAAAATAGAAAATACAGAAAAACACACCAGACAACACCTTCTGAACAGTCTCCTCAGAAAGAACAGAATCTGTCAACAAATAAAATATGAGCAAAAGCAGGTCAAAGCCCTTCCATAACTAATTATAACATTTCAAAACATCGCACTAGTTATGCACAAACCAGTCCTCAAGATTTTACAATCTTATTTCACTAAAAAACAATTGCATGAGAGAAAGAAAAAACTACTAAATTCGCCCTTTTAGCAGTAGAATGCCACAAGGATCTCAGTAGCAAGAACCCAAAATAAACAGATTTCCTTACAATCCAATTCACTAACTTCAGAGTATGCATTGCAAAATTAGACAAAAATATGAATAAAGTTTGAGTTATAACCATACCATACTTCCAGGACTTGAATAAATTATATATAAATGCCACTTTACGCAACCCCTTCCTTCACGACCAAAAATTAACCTCATTCACCAATCAATTTCTAAATTCCAAAACTAAAGCTAGCATTACAACAAACTGAAACTGTCGCATTTTTCAAAGTTCTCCACCAACACAAGAAACCGAAATTGTCGCATTTTTCAAAGTTCTCCACCAACACAATTCTCAATAATAATAACAATAAAAAAAAAACTTTTTCCAGATATCATCATAATTAATTGAAAATTACCATCCTCATGATCGTCGTCGTCGTCATCCATGCTATCATCCATTCCCTCTTGCTCCTCAGAATGAAACCGTTTCAGAATATCAAGCATTTTCCGCTTCGTTTGCTCATCCGATTGCATCAGCTTCATCTCTTCCATCACATTTTCTCTCATAAACGACTCTGTGCACCTCTCACTATGCGACTGCACACACCGCGACAAAACCAAAATTAAAAAAAAAAAAAAAAAAACCCAATCATTACTCACATTGTTATTTTACCTTATAGCAGTGAAGAGAACAATAGCGAGAATTGCATCGAGGACACGTGTACTGTGAAAACTGTTTCTGGCACCTACACAGTCAGAAATTAAGTTAGAATAATAAACAACTTCATCACAGTGACTGGACGAGAGATCTAAGAGATTAAGAACGTACACGTGGCATATGAAGCGAGAAGGAGGATCGAGAGGGGAAGGATTTGAGGGTTTCTCTGAGGTAAGGATTGTGTCTTCCATTTTTAATTATAATTATTAGCACAAAATCAAAATAAAACCGAGAGAGGGGGGGAGGGGGAGGCTGTCCATTTTAATGGAAACCCCTAGAAAACTATGGGATTTTTTATTTTTATTTTTTTTCAGAGAGAGAGAGAGAGAGTTTTGGATCTCTGGGGTTTCACGGTTAATTTGAAATTGTTCAGAAATGGATCTGAGCCCATTTATGAGTGGGCTAGTGTGAGGCTGTAGTTGGCCCTCCTTTGTTTTTGTTGTAAAGAAAATACCCATAGATTTTCCCAACGAAAAGAGGAGGGCTGAGATGGACAGGGTCCGTTATTTGATTGGGCCTACAAATACACATCCATCAAATTAAAAAAAAAAACACACTCAAAACCTCATTATTGTTTAGACTCGTTGCATTGTACATTGTAATAATGTCTTTCCCCTTTATATCAAAAACCAAATGACCTATTTTTAAAAATCAAATGATATCTTATATAAAATTTATTGGTATAAAATTGATTGGTATTATAATGCTTTATTATTATTTTTACACTGTTAAATAATATAAATATTTTTAAAAGCAACAAGTTAAGAGCAATTTTTTTCCTTTTATCTTTTTTCAAATAAGGAAAGATTTGATTGCTCTTCAAGTAAAAAAAATTAAAAAAAAAAACATGTATGAGTATTTGAGTCTTTTCATAATGATTATCTTGTTATAATCTATTTGAATTATGAACAAATAAATCTTAAAAAAAAAATTAAAAAAAGAAAAAAAATTACGTTGTTCATGCTTTTCTAGCAACACGTGCAACATTTGATAGCCAAAAACATCGAACACCATGTCCGAACACCATGTCCTTTGATACTTATAATGGCAACACAGCTAATGAAATAGTATATGTAGTGATATACATTGTAGTTTAGTTATGATGAGATTTTTTTTATCCTCATTTTCTTTTCTTCCTTCTCTTCTTGTTGGATCAACCAAAATATAGAGTTGTTCTTTTATTTATGTTTTTCTTTCAATCATGGTTCTTGTTTTTTTTATTGGTCTTGATTTGTTTTTTTTTTTAATTACATCCCTTCTTATTTGTTTTTATTTAATTTTATATCAAATATGGTCCTCGTTTTCTTTATTAATATTGTTTTGATATTTTTCTTGATTTATTTATTTATTCAATTATGTCTCTCAATATTTTATTTTATTTTATTTTATCTTATTGACCAATCTTGGTCATCATTTTTTTGATTGTCTTTTTGTTTATCTTTTTTTTATTTAATTTCTTATTATTTTCTTTCAGTAGTTTTTATACTTGATTTAGTCCTCATTGTTTTGATTGTTATATGTTTTCTTTTTTAATTTTTTATTATTGAGAATTTTGCTTTGAGATTTTTTTTTGTTTTTGCCTTCTATAAGATCATCTCAATCTCATAATCTAGATCATTAATTTCAAATATTAATTCAATTTAACTTTGTTTCCTTTTTAAGTATTTTTTTTTAAATCATTTTCATCATCTGATATTAGATGATTGAACCTTAAACTTTTTAGGTCTTTTTAGTTATTGACTCGGGTCAATGGTTAGTCAAATTAACTTTGGTTTGACCTTTTTCAATGAATTAGGTTTTTTTTTAAGTTTTTTAATTTATTGAACTTCTATTTTTTTTTAGTTCTTTTAAAAAAATTAATTTTTTTTATTGCCGTTACATGTCGTAGATGATGGGTTAATAGAGTGAATCCATATTAGCTTGAGTTTTTTCTTCAATATTTTTTTAATTAATTATTATTTTAATTTTATCATTTAATATTGGCTTATTTAATCTTAAACTTTATAATTTTATTTATTTTTTATATAAAAATATCTTAATTTTTTTATATCAGGTTACATGTTAATAAAATTAAAGTACTTATATTATGGCGGCTTTCTCTTTCTTTTTTTCATGTGGTGGCTTTTCTTATCTTTACCTAAAAGTCAAGTTTTATCTTCAATATATTCCGAAAACTCTCATCATATCAACTTCATGACTAAAGATTATTATATGATCTTCAAAGTTTAAATACGGGTAAGCTATATTAGAGATTTCAGTTTCATAACTTGAACCTAATTGAGAGTCCTCTTGATACAGTGAACATCTTGAACTTAGACTCACTTGAAAGATGAACGAGCCTTTCACCTCTAAACTCCAATATTGGCATTATATACATGCATATATACGTACATAAACTTTAGTCCATGATAAGGTTAAGAACACAACTTAGCAGATGAGTTCTCATTCCAACTTGCATGGTTGCGGTGAAAAAATGAATTTATAATGTGATGAGATTAATTTTAAGGAAACCTCCAATTGGTTATCATATTAGAAAATCATTGAAAATTATGAACACCTCTAAAACAAGTTTCTCTTTGGCTCAGGGGACTTTCAATGCTTGAGAAATTAGAACCTGTTTTACCTTATATTTTATGGATTTATATAGCTATAAATCATGCTATCTTGTGCAAAGATGAGGGCAAAGTGGAGAAAACATTGTGATGCTAGATTTAATTAATATAACAATGCACTAACGAGTAGAAATTATATTATCATGTGGATCATATTCTGAACATTTTTTATACTGTTATGGGGACCTAGTTATGACGGGAGGATGCATTAAGTATTTAATGCTAAATGTTGATTTTATAGAGAGTTGGTGAAGGTTTTTGTGGTTGGGTTCCTCTTATCCAGCCTCGTGCCTTTGATCATGGTTATGTCCAGCCTTGTTGGGCTAGGTGGAGACTTCGAACACCATTTAAAAAGTAAATCGATCCTTGCCTCATGCTATGCTGGAGTAAGAGTAAATCAATTTTTTTATATAAAAAACATTTAAGCTTTGTTGATGTATATTCTAGTAGAAGTGTTTTTTTTTTTCAAATCATGTAAAAAATAATAAATATTTAAACTCAATTTTTTTATATAAACATTAAGGAAATAATATAATAGACTAATACAGGTTAATTTGTCAATCCACATGTCGATGTCGATGTCGATTTATGAGATCATGGTAACTCATAAAAAATATACCAAAACACATTACAAAACTCAATTTCTAATAAACTCAATCTTGAAAAATAAAATTGAAAAAATTACAATAGAAAAATATATAGAAAAAATGACATAAGTGAACCTAGGTTAGTTTATCAAATTTAGATCCGGGTTATGAGATTATGACAACTCAATAGAAAATAAATGAAAATAAATTATGAAGCATAATTTTTAATTAATTCAATTTTGAAAGATGAATTTGAAAAAAAATCAATTAAAAAAATACTCATAAAAATAACTCGTGTAAACTCGGGTTAACCCATTAAACTCATAATCTAGATCATATAATAAGGATATCCTCATAGAAAATAAATCAAAATATTTCACGAAACTTAATTCCTAATCAACTCATTTTTAAAGTATGAAATTAAAGAAAAATATCAATTAAAAATGAAGAAAAAAAACTTCAAGTTAATTTGTCAAATCTGTAATTTAGGTTATGAAATTGTAATAACAAGTATACAAAGTAAATTGAAAAAAAAACTATGAAATTTAATACCCAATAAATTTAAGATTGAAAGATAGAATTGAAATTGAGAAATCAATTAAAAATAACTTGAGTCAACTCAGGTTAACATGTAAAACTTATGATTCAAGTTATTATTAAAAATAACTCGAGTCAACTCAGATTAACATGTAAAACTTATGATTCAAGTTATAAGACAAAGATAATCTCACGAAACTTAATTCTCAATCGATCCAATATTAAATGATAAAATTAATAAAATAATACAATTAAAAAAAAATATAAGTCAACTGAATTAACTTATCAAACTTGTAGTTCAGGTTATAAAACTAAGATAACCTCGTAAAAATTAAATTAAAAAAAATTAAATATTTAAATTCTCAATAAACTTAATATTAAAAAATTAAAAAAATAATTAAGTTGGAAAAAAAATAAGAGTAAACAGTAAAAACTCATCTTTTTTAGTTTTTTGTTAATTAATTTTGGGTAATTGACTCGCTCTTTGGAAGTGGAACAGCTCATCCTAAGAATCAGAAGATGCATGCAATCACTTTGGATCCGCTAGTGCCTTCCATGACCCATGAGCTGTTGGGCTTGGATCTTGCCTCATGCGTTGAGTCACAAGCATGGCATTTAAGGTTTAAATCTCGAATCCATTAGGCATCAATTCATCAACCTCATAACTATAATTAAGAAATATTTAAAGTAGTCCTGTGATCTCACGAGCTTTTATTTATTTATGTCAATTGCTACATTGATTTTTACAGTGCATCCAGCCTGTCTAAATTGTTTCTTCTCACTGAAAATATTTGAAAAAACTAATATGGAAACTCAGACCCTTTCAAGAGCCTTCATGGTTTGCTGATCATCATTTTGTTGACTTGGTACAATTCTATTACTACTGGCTTGATTTTGTTTGGCCTTGTCATCAACTTCAGCCTTGAATTCTGCTACTTTAGCTAGTTCTTCAACCGTTTTGACAATATCTTGGATCCTTGACGAAATATCTATCAGAAAAGAAGCTAAAATTACTACTGGAAGAACTTCCAGGAGATGTATTGTGGAGGTTGTTTTCTCAGTTTTCTTGTTCCCAGGAAGTAAAAGTTCTGCTGGGCTAAGCAGATTTGAAAGAGATTTTATTTCGTTTTGGAGATCTTGCACTGCACTCCTCATTTCTTCAACTAAGAAATCTATGGAGGATGATTTTTTCAATGTCTTGATAGTTTTTGCCAGCTCTTTTATAACACAGGAAGAGGTGGAGCTCACTTTCAGGCAAACGTTGCTCATGTGCTTCTTTATGAACTCAGGGGCCTGTTTTCAGACATAGTAGTGTAGGGAAACAAAGAATTTGTCAGGACAAAAATCACAGGGTTAAAAAGTATTAAGCGAGAGTATAAAGAAAATTTGTCACCTGATTTTCTGAATCGATGCAGCTATTAAGAGCCTCAATGGAGTAGGCACAGCTGCGCATTGATGCACCGATTTTAAGGTATTGTTGCCATGGATGCTTGAAGCTGAAGCGACCATGTGCAGGCTCCAATCTAGCAAAATTGGCCTGCGTCAAAAACAGTGTCATCCACAACTTCAGTCAAACATTATG